CGTGTGTTTAAGTTATAGTGACTGTGGAAATTCTGTGTATTGCAAAGTTGTATCGAGAAAGAATAAACTAGTTTTAATCAAGAAGGGACTTGTATCGCTGAAGTCACTCGGAAAGAATTTTTACCGGAAATTATCAAATGACCAGAGACGTAACAATACTTACCAGCTTCTGTATAATATTATACTGTAAGGGAGGAGTAGGGCATCTAAACTTTTTTTAATCGTACATGGCAGTTTTTTGAAAATAAAAATAATTTTATATTTACAGGGATCAAAAATACATTTACCTAAACATCACTATTTGGCTTATCATACAACATGAAGAAACATCAATCAATGAATCTGAATTTCTGTTAGAATTAGCTAGATATTAAAAATTCATATTAGAGTGTATCATTTCAGTCCAGTGACGGAACATCGATGATACGTTATTAATAAAAGAATAACAATAGATGTTCAAATTCTCAATTAGAAGTATCAAATAGCTTATTTAGATCAAAAACACTATAAATACTAAAATAACACGTGTATCTTTAGCGCTCTTTATATAGATTGTTATTTGCATAAAATGGTTATGTTTTTCTCTGTAACTGACAGAAGAACTTGGCTGATATTCTCTTACAAAAATGGTAATCATTGTCGCATAAGTTAATCATAATTCATATTTTTTCATATGTAATAAATTAACATTGATACTTTGTATTAATGATGAAACCTGAAACAATGTTGTTGTTTTGAAAATCAAATATGAACACACACCTAATATTTCGATATCAGCTGACGCCTTTCTCACATACAATTTACTGGCCCTCAGATTTAAACTTAAATGTTTTAGCTCTATTAATAGTTTAGTGTTTTCTCAACTCTATAAGTAGATTAATGTGATCAGTAATTCTTTTTTGTAATTTAAGTCAATACCATAATACGAAACGAAACATGTATATCATACCGAGTTAAAAGATTTATCCCAGTTGTGTAAAACTAATCAAAATTCAGTCTTAATATTGAGTAATGCGCCATATTTCACATTATAGATAGCACTCCATTCCAATGTACAGTGTATTAATACTTCCTTCCACGTTCTTTCAGCTCGTCTGTACGATACAAGTGAACCTTGTTACACAATTTAAATAAACCTTTTTTTTTTTAAATGAAAACAACAAAACAAATCCCAAACAATTATTAAGCACAAATGAATTAATATTACTTTGCTTTCTAGTCTCTGGTGTTCGACTTGAATGTATTGGTTTTCAACTTTCATAATCATATTTAACTAAAACAATCCAACTGCTGAAGAACAACCCTGAAAATTCAATTTTCAGATTAGAATAAAAATAAAAATCTCAATTTTACAAACTACGTACCATCTGGCCTCATGGGAATTTGATTACAATAAAAAAGATAGTTGTCGTTGAGCTTGATATCATCTTCTTTTCCCTAGTAAAATATTTGAAATGTATTAATTTCCTTAGCTATTCGATAACTATTTCCTAAACGATGTTGCCACTGTGTAAATAAAACACTCTGTTTATTTAACAATATTCTTTTATTAACCATTTTCAAGAAAATAGTAAATGAGATAGTTATTCTCCAAGTTACAGAAATAAAACATACAAGGAAAAACGGAGACAATTATAGATATTTACTTAAAATTCTATATAAATATAGATTTCTGCTTTGTTCCTTTGTAATTAAGCGCAAAGCTACACAATGGGCTATCTGTACTGTGTCAACCACAGGTATCGAAACACGATTTTAGCGCTATACGTCTTCGTACTTACAGCTGTGCCATTGGGGGGGGGGGGGGGATAAATATTGATACACATGAAGCTCGAATTTTCTAGTGTACAAAAATTGTTGTTGTTAAGGTACACAATGGGACATCCGAACTATGAGCACCACGAATATCGAAACTCACTTTTTAACATCAAAAGACTTACTGCTGATTCACTGGAGGGCAGTATAAAAAATTATTTAAAAAAAAACACGTCATGCGCCCAACTTTGCGCAATTGCTACCAGGATAACTGGCTGATAGCATTTTCTTACTACCAACAATTGCGTTCAGGTTCTTCTAGTCATGGATATATAGATCGGAAATTGTGGTGCTTCTAAGCAATTAAAATATTTTGTGGCCAAATTTGACGTAAATAAACTGTTTTGAAGCATGTGGTGTTTTCACGTAAACTCATTTCCCAAAAAAGTAAATTAGGTATTGTCAGGTTTTTATGGATGGATGAATGGACCGGATTCTTTACAGTAGGTGTCTATGACTTGTTGGTGATAAATTTCAACAATAAACAATCAGCACATAGTCCACTTGTTTTAAAATAATATATTAAACCAAGTCAAGCGCATATACAAACATTCGTTACACTGTGGTTATCACAGTTGTATCCAGAGTTTTATATAATTGTCTCTTTTTTGTCAAAGTCCCAACAGTCTGGTTCAATTACTTTGTAACCCAACTGACAAGACAAATTCTCTACTCTGTTATTACGATACACTCTGTCATAATATCATTTTTAAAAAATCGTTACTATACCTCTTTATGGTTAATTCGTAATCATGCTGTCTAGATCTATCTATATATATCTAACTAATTAAATATAACTACATTTTAGACGCATATTTATAGCCTGACGAAGGCTTAGAACGTTCCACACACTACTATGATGCAATGATACTTAATTAAAACAACGAGAAAAGCTTAGAACGTTCTAGTAACATAACGCAATAATACAACAATCGCCAATACACAACAATTGAACTGCACAACACGATTCGTAAACAGTACGTATCCAAACCTGCAATAAACTATCGCTTCTAAAAATAACTAAATTTAACACTCGCGCTATATTTAAACGGAAACACTCGTGTATATCTAACAATAATCCCCTTTTCCAGAGAAATATTTTTATACTATATACAAAGACTGTTTTCAGATCATGTACAAAGTATACTCATACAGTCTGCACCAACATTTGCAGTCCACCTGATGGCTTTAGTGTGGAACCAATAGTTCTGAAGGTACAATGCTCACGTCACGATCCTCGCATTGTCGATTTTGCACCTATGGATGTATGCAAGTGACTGATAGTTTGTTTGGATGATGAACTATTTTTTATAGAGGTAATTCTGGAACTTCTGAATGGCAAATAGGATGGCCAGACACTCTCGTTCAATCACAGAGTAGTTCTTCTCACTACTTAACAGCTTTCTACTAGTGTACATTACGGGAAACAGTCTGTCTACATGTTCTTGCAGAAGCACTGCTCTAATTCCAATCTCTGAAGAATTGGCCTGAATGACGAACGGTTTGTTGAAGTCTGGCATTCTAAGGATTGGCGAACTTCCTAACACATTCTTCAACTTTTGGAATGCCATTTGCTGTGGCTGTTCACATTTCACCTTGTTGAGTTGGCCTTTTTTGATCAGGTCAGTCAATGGTTTAGTGATTCAGCACAGTTTGGGATACACTTCCTATAGTATCCCCCTAACCCCATGAAGAATCTTACTTGCTGCTTTGTCAATGGATGTTGTATATCTTGTATGCAGGTTAGCTTCTCCTCTACCATGGCTAACTGTCAGTCACACACCTTGTGTCTAACAAAGACCAGCACAGAATATCCAATATAGCACTTAGATGGTCTAATGGTCAGATCTCCTGCTCTCACTTGCCGAAACAGCTATCTAAGGTTCTCCATGTGGTCTTCCCATCTGGTTGTGTGGGTCATAATGTCATCCATATAATGCTCAATGTTGGTGGTATTGTACAATATCTTCCTAATCATCCAGTTGAATGTCACTGCTGAGTTGATTAACCCAAATAGCATCTATCTGTTGTCACAAAGGCTGTATTCTCTTTAGATTCTGTCTCCATTGGGATCTGCCAATAACCTTTACTGAGGTTGATCTGGGTAAAGAACCTGGCCCCATCTAGTTTCACCATGAGAGTCTCTGAGTTGCCAATAGGTTCATGAGGTTCAGTTTCTGGAAATATAGGCAGAAGCCCTTTTCTTCGCGATTATCACTGGTGAACAGTAAGCTGAATTTGAAGATTCAATCATTCTGACTTTTAACATTACCCCCACTTCTTGCATAGATTATCTGGTAGGGTTTTACCTTGACTGGATCCTTGGTCATGGTCTCAATCTCGTGTTGCACAAGGTCTGTCTTGCCTGGTCTATCTGTGAAGTCATTTGCATACTGGTAAATTAGATCTTGTAGCTCTTTCTTTTGCTTGCCAGCCAGTTCTTCACTGATGTTGACGTTTTTGTATGTCTCATCTCCACCCAGCAGTCTTAGGTCTAATAGTCATCAACTTCTGGTTCTGCATCTATGACAGCCACATCTGCAATGTACATGTGTGTCTCAGTAGCTGCACCTATTAGATCTTCTTAACAGTCAAAGTACTTCTTCAACAGATTGACATGGTAGATCTTGGTCTTTCCATCCACTTACCTTATAGTCCATTCTGTTGATCACTCCCCGAACTTCAAAAGGTCCTTTCCACTGCAGGGTGAGTTTTTCGTTGTCTGTGGATAGCAGAACCAAGACCTACTGTACGATCTTGAAACGTTGATTCTTAGTCTTCTTGTCACAGAAGTGCTTCTGACTTCTTTGAGCTGGATACAAACTTTCTCGAGCAAGTTAACAGGTCTTCTCCAGTCAGTATCTTAGGTCTAATATGTGCTGGTATGTGTTCCTCACTTCTGACTTTTCTTCTCCTCTTCTTTCAATATCTGCACTGTTCTTCCATACAGTACGTCGAATATTGTACTCGCTTGTGGGACTTCTTGGTAAGCAAATAATATGTGGTCTCTCCTAGCATATATTCTTCAGCATGCTCTTTAAAATTCCATTGACTCTCTCACAGAGTCCATTACATCTGGGGTTGTATCTGGTGGTAAAGACCTGCCTAATACTGATGAGCCTGCACACCTCTTGGGTCAGTTCTGAGGTAAAATGGGTCCCTCTGTTACTCAAGATTTCTTTTGGGAAACCTACTCTGCAGAACACTTTTAGGAGGACTACTGTCAGCATGTACCAGTTGTACTTGTCGGGTACTGATGCTAGTGGTCAAATCACGCCCACAGCTACTGTAATCAATGGCTCTTCTATGAGAAGCATCTCACGCAGTGACACGTTGGCTACCTTCCCCCTAGGTATTGTTTTTTGGCAGATATCACATGACCTGCAGAATATGGTCACATCTCCGATGATTCCAGCCAATGAAAGTTGCTGGGGATTCTTTCTACCGTCTTCTTCCCTCTTAAGTGTCCTCCCACAATCGAATCATGAGTCAACTTGACCATTTAAGTCCAGTATTCTGTTTGTATACTATGATCTGTATAAATTCCTCAGTAGAACTGCTTTGATAGATCCAGAACAACACTCCTTTCCATTCCTCTATTCTGTAAGCCCATTTTCCCTTTATCCTCTGCTCGACTTTCTCCTGGGTACTGCCCCAAAGTTTCTGCAGTGAAGAGTATTTCTTTTGTGCTTCCTTCAGTTCCCATAGACCTACATTCTGGATGCCACATTTCAAGACTTGCAGTTGCTTGATGTCTTGCTTTCTTTTTTTTTTCTGGAGCTCTTGTGGTGACTGCAGATATCTCATCAGTCTCTTTTCTGTCTGGTTTCTCCAAACTTCTACTGCTTAATGTATTGCCAATCACCAAATCATAAATGGTTGCATTCATACACATGGCCTCAATGTCTCCCACATAGTATGGAGTGTCCACTTTTATTCTTGTTATGGAAAGCTTTCTCACTGTCCTATCAATCAGTAGACACAGATGTACCTTGCCCATCATCTGATCATCAGATACTAGACTAGTTCTCACTGCTGCACCCAGTGTTTTGTGGGGCATTCATTTTCTTGTCCCCGACTCAAACTTCATCTACTGGCATTTTCTGGTTTGTTGTCACTTTTCAATGTTTGTCACGTGTTCCAATCACTACTGGTACTGTTAACCCATTTGCTAACTTGGGTTGACCATCAATCGGGCACTGCTTAATCATGGTAATAACACTTCCAATTTATGGTGAATCTAACGAGTTGTTTTCATTCTGTTTCTTCTGGCAGCAGCATCTACAGTGACATTCACTCTTTTCTTGTTTCTTGCCAGCACTATCTCTTTTCATCTTTCTCTTCCTCTCTTCTCTCTTGATGCTCTTTTCTCTCAATGTCTTGTTATTGTTTAACAAATTCTCGTAGATCACCATCTTTGAACCCATGTTGCTCACCCATCTCTGTCCACTTATCTACAATATTCTCACCACCGCTACAGCTGTGCAAATATAGACCTATTTGCCGGTTGTTTACATCTACTTCTACCACAATTTACACCTGTAGATCCTGGCTGGGTTGCCACTATCAGGTTTTCTGTGTATAGATGGACCAGATTCTTTACAGTAGGTGTCTGTGATTTGTTGGCGATAACTTTCAACAATAGAC